CCTCCCCCTCGTCTCCGATGATGTCTGCCAGCACGTGTGCCTCTTCTAACCCAACCCCTCTCGGAATCCCCCGCCCCAGCCGCACACACGCTCTTGCCCTCTCGCTTCCCACCCAATACCTCCCCAGACCGCCCTCGCCCTATCCTACCCCTGTGTGAGGTGGCAGCCACTGAAAGGCCTGTTTGTGTTCATGTCTCCTTTTCAATTAATGATCTGGAGCGTATTGAACAAAAGATGGGGTCCTCAGAAAACCCTGATGAATTCAACTATGACCGTCTCAGGGAAACTACCCAGGGAGCAGATGAAAACCCAGCCCTCTTTATAAACGCCTTTCAGAAGTACACCAGCCCTAATTCCCCTGAGGGCCTTATTCTCCTACACCTCCACTTCATTTCACAGTCTTACCCAGATATTCATAAAAAGCTCAAAAAATTAGAAAATGGACCCTAGAAACAGCTTGTAGGCCTTGCCTTTAAAGTTTTCAACAACTGGGATAAGGAATGAAAAACTCAGAAAGAAAAACAGGCTAAAGCCAAATATCAGATTCTGGCCTCCCTAATTTGACCTCCCACTGACAAGCCTGCAAAAGGCTGCACATCCCACACCCGCCTAGCAGCTGTTTCGCTGTGGCAGTCAGGGCCGCTGGGCAAGAGCTTGCCCTAATGCCAGGCCTCCTACAAAGCCGTGTGTCCACACAGTGGGGTCACTGGAGAGTGAATTGCCCTCTAGGGAAGTCAACCCCTCCCTTGGGTTCTCTCCCCTCCAGGTGACCAGACACATCTAGAGAGGACCTGGCAGCACTCCAGGCCTTGTCTTCAGAGACCGATTGACACGGCCCAGATCCCAAGGCCCCCCAACACCAGCGGATCCATAGGTAACAATGGTGGTGGCAGGAAGTCAGGTTCTTTCCTGGTCGACACAGGAGCCTCCTCCCTGTGCTTACTGAATATTTCGGACCTTTTATCCCTTCCTTTATCTTGGTTGCTGGAAAGAAAGGCTTAATAGAAACACCAGCCCAAACCCCTCCTTTACACTGTTTCTTAGGCCATATTACTTTCCCTCACTCGTTTCTGGCAATCCCCCACTGCCCCACCCTCCTTCTGGGAAGAGAGATCCTCCACCGCATGGGGGCAGGGCAGGCGGCCTTGACTGATATCCTCCCAGAGGGAAGCTGCTATCCTGGGACAGGACCAGAGCAGTAAATTTCTTACGTTAATTTTGCAGAATTACCCAGAGGACTGATAAGATACTTTTCTACCCCCAGATGATACTGCTAAAATTTTAATTGATTTAAAGACAACGCCTGTAACAGTTGGGCATTGCAAAACTTCCAGAAATTCACTTCCAGAAATTCTGATAGAAGTTACTCAGCATGTATGCTAATTTCTAAGTCTTTTGTCATTTATAGTTTCTGCTTTACTCCTGAACTACTAAAGAACTAGATTCAAGCAGAGCAAAACTTACTTACATAAAATTTAATAAACTGAGGAAGATAATTTTAATTTTTGTGCAAATGTTGCTAATCTCTTAGAAAAACAAGTATCTGTTTCAACCTTTTTCTCTTAAGCTACTTTACAACAATTCAGTAAATTATACCTTTAAAGCAGAATTGAAACATTTATCTTTCTACCTGATCCCTCCAGAATTTAAAAACTTTCAGTGACTACTTTAATATTTTATGGCAATATTTTTATTTGCATAAGTTCAGTAAGAATCTGCTCTCCTTGTGACAGGACCAATTGAAAACGCTGGTTATATTACCAAGTCTTTGACTAGAATGTCATGTTTAAGATACATGCATAGACTCAGATATGAACAGACAGCTTTAAGGAACAAAGATTGAATTTATGGAGCCAGCAAAGCCCCTTGGAAGACCTTGCCTGGTACCTTGCTTACAGGGTTCCCAGCAGCCTTAACCAGGTGTGTAAGGAAGGTCACTTCCTGCCAGGTGCAGGAACCTCAGAATATGTTGGGAACCTCGAGAAGAGAGGAATTCACCCAAATCTACAGGTACTACAGGCAAAACCTGATTGCAAGTCTGGCTTGGCTTTCTGGGCTTTGGAGGCCTTTAAAAGCTCAGTCTGAAATTCCTTTATGAAAGTTCTAGCAAAGCACATTTAAAAGAGCCTATGCCATTCCATGGCTGTTCTTGCTGCACTTATGAAAATAATCAGGACAACTGTTTTAAAGCTCAACTTATTTTATATTAGTAAAAATTAAGGTAATTTTAGAGAGAAAGAGGAGTTGTGTTTCAATAGTGTAGCCTTATCACTATTGGATTCTAATACTGTTCATTGTAAAATAGACTAGATCCTGGATTCTAGTGTCCTCAGAGTATCTGGCTATGACTCCAAATGTTTCAGTTTTCTCCCACCATTTCAATTAAGAGTTTTACTATTTCTAGTCCTCATATTCAAACATTCATTCTTGATCTCCTTGTCAAGTTTGTTTCCTCCAGAACAAAAATTCAACTCCAGATATTGATCAGATGAGGATTTCAATCCACCCCAATGCTGATGAAGAAGCTCAACAGCTCTGTGACCCCTCCTCTCCCTGACAGACAGCAAGGAACTGCTGGACCCACAGGCAGGGACAACGCCCCTACTCAGAAGGAAGCTGTTACAGAAGAGTGACCCGACACCCACTTTTCCTGGAGAGATTTCAAGGGTCCACATTCCTTGAGGGGTGAATGAGGTGGGGCAGAGACAAGGGACAAGCATCATGATTAACATTTACCACCTATGATGAAAAATACTGAGATATAAACAGTATAGTAAGAACAGGAGCAACTTCATCTTAAGGCTAAGATTCCATTTTAAAAAGCAGAGAATTGAAAAGTAAGATTCCTAGCATATTCTCTGGTAGTCAGACAATAGCCCAACAGCCTATCTTAAGGTAGAGCAGGCAGTCTTAACTGATATGTCCCCACTTCTTTGGCCAAGCAGAGTACAAAATGACCTCGAATCTCAACCTTGCCCCTAGCTGCCTGCTCCAGTATGTTGATGACCTCTTGCTTTGCAGCCCCTCAAAAAAACGATTCTCTATCCCACACTATCTCCCTCCTTAGACTCCTGGGGAAAAAGCGGTGGTGTGTCTCAGAACACAAAGTTCAGGTAACAGAGCAAAAGGTTGCTTACCTTGGTCTTGACCTCACCCCAACCACTCGCTGCATTACCCACCTTTCAAAAACAAGCTATTAATAATCTCCCATTCCGCACCACAAAGCAAGAGCTTCTTTCCTTCCTAGGGTTTCTTAGCTATTTTAGATTCTGGATCCAAAATTTCTCACTCATTGCAAAACCCCCTTATGAGGCCTCCCACAGGGATCCCCAAGAAAGGGTGCCAGAGACAGACTTAATTCCTGCTCCTTTCTGGGCCCTTAAGTGAGCACTCCTCAAAGCACCTGTTTTGACTCTACCTAACCCTGAGAAACCTTTCTTTTCAGCAAAAAGGGACAAGCGTTAGGGCTACTCACACAATCAGCTGGAGACTCCCTCCAGCCTGTTGCCTATTTTTGTCCAAACAACTCAACCTTGTGAAAAAGTCTGGCCCCTCTGTTTACAGGTCCTAGCATCAGCTGCACTCCTTATCCCCGAAGCCCAAAAATTGCCCTCCACCAGCCCTATAGGTACCCTCCTCAACACAACTTCTCTTACCTTCTCAGTCACTGGGCTCTAATCTTTCTCTCCCCAGCCTGAGTCCAAGTCTTACACTCTCAGCTTCTACAACCCTCACCTTCTACCTCTCCTGGCCCCATTCACCTTTATCCCCCTCTTCCTTCTTTTCCTTCCCTGCTTAAGTAAGCTATTCCAAAGATTTTTACAGGATCAAGGCAACCATCTCCTGGGCAACTACTTGAGAACACCTCCAAATGGCTTTTCTGCTTCAAAATATCAGAAAACCCCCTTCATTACCCCCTCTCAGCAGGAAGTAGCCAAGAAAAGAACAATGACCCATCTCCATACACCCTTTTAGAGCCAGGAATGATAGAATCTGGACCTGAGGACTGCCTTTTGAATAAGCCCACCCACCATCTCACAGACACATAGCTGTCATCTTCCCTAGGCTATAAGCATCCTCCAGAGGACACGTCAGCAAGCCACAAGCCCACCTTTCCCCTGACCCCTCCCCTCAAAGAGCCCACCAAAATCCCTGCCATAAAAAGCCTCTTGACCTGTTAGAGACCATCTTTTTCTTTTGTCCTGTTAGAGACCATCTTTTTCTTTTGTTCTGCTGGCCAGGACAGACGGGGCCCTCTCAGGTTCAGCAATAAATCGTCCTGGACTGTTGAGTTCCCATCCCCTCCCTTCTTTTACCAGTAATTATTTGAACTTGTAGATTTTTTAAAAATGTGTTTCTACTGCCCACATTTAAGAGAGCACTTAAAATCTTATCAGACACCCTATTTCCTTTCCCCATGTGTTGTTACTACTGGGAAATGGTGACAAACACCAAGAACACAATGAGGCCATCAATAATGAGGTAAATAATTGTCTATCTGGCCATCTATGGACAATAATTCAGTTTACATCATGTCTACTGTCAGAATTCTCTTGAACCCATGAGTAAGGGTCTCAGGTTACTCCAGTGTAGAATATCTCAGAGCACTTTCAAGGATCCCAAACTATTATCTTCAGGCCTAAATTAACTCCTGGCATCCCAAATTGGAATTTTTACCCTCAAATTATAATAATCTCTACTTCTAGAGACAGTCAACCATGAAACTCAAGCCTATAATCCTCATCGTGTTGTTGCCTTAATCAAAGATGTACAAATTCATCAGAAGCTTTCAAGTGAAATTTTGATTAAGTGTAATAAGTACCTAGAAATTCACCAGATATCATTTCCAAGGTAGTTTCAGTCTCAGGCTCAGTACAGAACGTTCAGTATGACAATATGGTTATAAAATGTACCTATCCACTGCTACTGAGAGCTCTGTCTACCATAGATGATAAGAGTTTACATACCATTTTGAATTATGAAAGTATAGTATTTATTACCTTCTTCTTCTTTGATAATATAAATGCACCAACCACTGGGCAATAAAAGGCCAGAGGATAGCAAAAGTTAATGCACCGGGAGACATCTCAAAGGGCCACCAAGATGGTCTCTGAGAAAACAAAATAAGCTNACACAAAAACAAATATATTTTTAACTTTGCAGTTGTAAATGGTAGGTCATTCAGAATACTTTAAGGACTCTAAGTAATCTAAATTTATTGTATCTTATTTGAAACCCTAGGACTCAGATTTAAGAAAAGAATTGCTTACCTGTGAGGGAGGCTGATTACTAGTCTGTAATGTTGATGATTTTGCCTATACAATCATCAAATGATTGTATGATTGCCTATACAAATCATACAAATACAAATGAAAGTGATTTAGCTTTGACAAAATGAAAGAAAAAGTGATTTTTCTCTTTCCTGTTCTGTTAAAAGATTTTTAATTATGAAATATTAGTTTATTGTTTTTCTGTTATGATTACCACAAAACCTGTACTGACCAAATGACAAGATCCCCAAAATTGTCAGCCAAATAAACATTTTTGACAGATTATAGTTTTATAGTCCAAATTATATAAATAAAATGAAACCTCAAATTAACCTTAACTATTCTTTTATATTCTTATTAAATTATCTAATTAACTTTATTAGCTTTAAAATTTTCAAACAAGCTACCACTTTACAAATGCATTTGAGAATTGCAGCCTTGATTATTAATTAAAATTATGAATATGTAAATAATATCCAAGACCTGTTTTGGAAATTCATTCCATTAAAGCAGAAGTGTATGACAAATATGAGAAATGAATTGTTAGTGTTACCAGTTTTGTTTTTTAATTTTTTTCCAGCTTTATTGAGTTATAACTGACAAATAAAATTGTTTATATTTGAAGTGTACAATGTGATGATTTGATATATGGTTGCACTGTGAAATGTGTACCATTACCAAGTTAATTAACACACCCCTCACGGCACATAATTGAGGTTGGGGTGAGTGGGGAAGTACGGTAGGTTATTTGACGATGAGTATTTACTAAGCAGAAAGATTTTGCGCTAATTTAGGACACTTATTCCAATTTGGCTCATCCCAAACACAAGTTTCCTTAGACTAGACGTTAGAAACTTATTACTCCAGGTTGTCCATATAAATTAGAGAAATGATATGAAGATTAATGAGGTCATTCATTCATTCAACAAATATTTTCCTGAGTGTTTATTATGTACCAGTTATTAGTCTAGGCATTAGAGATACAACAGGGGGCAAAATGACAAAAATTGATGCTCTGAAGTATCTTATAGTCTAAAGGAGGGACACAGATAATAACACCACCAAAAAAATACAGTAAAATATACAATATCTCAGGGAGTGATAAAGGCCATAAAGATAAATAAAATTGGTAAAAGAGATGAAACATGTTAGAGGATGGGAGTCTTGCAAGCAATTAAACAGTGTCAGGAGAGGCAAATGAAAATTCCCAAGACCCTCACTTCTTTTAGAGCTAAGAAGTAACCAGCATTACCTGCACAATTAACACTATGATTTTTTGGCTTTAATGATATTCTTCCACATATACTGCTGAAGAAAGAACACTCAATGACACTTGTTTAAGCACTGTAGGGAAGACTACTCAAGGGAGATGGGGCTATGGCTATATGTATAGGGCCACTACAGTCAGGGAGAGCGTGCACTCAACCCCAGTACAGCATGGGCAAGTGGGGATTTACAGTAAGGGTGCAGGGTGGGGGTGAGTGGATGGAAAATGACTAAGAGGAAACATCAGGCGTAAGAGAGCTTCTGGTTAAGCTGACCTAAAGGATTCTTGCTGAAGTCAGGCCAGGGTGATCAGAAATCATGTGGGGGAGAGGGAAGATGAGGAGCCCAGTCAGACAGCAAGGGTAGGAATCTGGTTAAACTGATGTGGAGGCAGCGTTCTTGTTACAACTGGATTTTACAAGGAAGAAGTGCACAGCTGTGCCTGAGAGGAAGGTTCAGGAACATGACAAAATTTGGTGAAGCACTGAATCTTCGTCACTGTCAAATAGCTTTTATGTAGCTTTTACGTATTTAGAAATTCAACTTATCATTCTATTGCTAGACTAAAATGAAGTTTACTGTATCTTTTTGAAAATCATTTTCAAAGGAAAAATCTCATACAATAGTAATCATTGCAAAAAAATGGGAAGACATAGTACTATTTAAGTCAGGTGCTCCCTAAGGTTATGAACTTCCTGAGGGAAGAAACTGAGATGTTTTACTACCATTGTTGCTGTCATCATTGTCCCCTCATGTGACAAAGCTTAAGTGCTTAATATGTTCCAGACACTATGCTAAGCATTCTATTTTATCCTCTGAACAAGCTTATAAGGCAGGCAGGCATTATTAATATTCCCATTTTGTAGGTAAGGAAACTGAGGCACAGGGAAGTTAATAATCCAACTGAAGATCACACAGTAAGCAGCAAAGTCAGGACTTGAACCCAGGTAGTTTGCTCCAAGGTCCGCTACACTGTACTACTTCCATTTTCATTTTTGTGTCTGTTGCCTAGAAAAGTATCTCGTACATAGTCATTCAACAAATATTTACTGAGTGATTTTTTTTACTAAGGAACTATTTTACGAAAGATTATGTATCTCAGCTGACTTACCATGACAGAAAATGAATTATAAGAGAAACAAGGAAATGAGCTATAGACCTTGATCCTGCCACTAAAGACTGTGTCCTCCAGTATCTCACCTTTTATGTCTGCTGAACTGAGTTTCCTTCAGGTCTACAGACTTCTACTATTCTACCATCCAGTTTTTATCTACTTATTTGTCTTATTTCTTTATGCATTCATTATTTTATCCATCCAAATGAATTATGCAAATTTTAAGGAATAAGTCCTTAACATGTCAGAATCTGTCTTTAGAGTTTATTTTATGTAAGACAAGAGTGAACACTTCTAAAATAAATGAGAAGAATTTTCAACATAATTTGAACACCACTAAAGACATTAAATATATATAAAATACAAAAATACTAATCACAGAGCAAGAAAATACAGATTACCAGAACAATACTAGTCAATATTACTAAATTAACGAATGAGGTTTCCTGCATGGGCTAGCTCTTTTTTGCTTCCTTTAAGATAATTCTGCATGAACCTAGGGATAGTTGGATGGGATCACAGGCCTTGAACATTTTATTTTTCAAGATAATATAGAAAGCAAAATTTTCTTATTAATGAAACAACTAAAATATTCTGTTATCAATAACCTACTCTTACCTGTACGAAGTAGTATCATTTTTAAGGCACTATTCTTTTAATTTTGGTATCATTAATACACAATTACATGAGCAACATTGTGGTTATTAGATCCCCCCCATTATCAAGTCCCGCCATGAACCCCATTACTGTTACTGTCCAATCAGCGTAGTAAGACGCTATAGAGTCACTACTTGTCTTCTCTGTTTAAGGCACTATTCTTAACCTTTTTCATCACAGACGCCGTTCAGAATTTGATGAAAGCAACAAATCTCTCCCCTCGAAAATGCAAAATCAAACAAAAATTTGCATACTATTCTGGAGTGTTCATAGACTCACCAAAGTCTACAGATTCACAATCTTAGTGACAAAAAATGTGATTCAGAATCATTGAGATACATAAAACTGAGAAACCTTTGATAATCTGAGAAGTCACTGATTAGGTAAAGGGCAAGATATTCACGGTGGTTGTTTGGACAGCCTACAGTATTTAGTTACTTTATACATATCTCCATTTAACGTGTTCATCTGGTAATGGGAGCACATCTTTGATTAATCTCTACAAATTCTTCTTAACATCTGTTATAGCATGATGCTGCCACATAGTAAAATGTTTGAAGCCTGGTCAGACAGCCGGATGTTGCCTTTCTTTTCTGCAACCAGTGCTACTCAAGAAGGAACAAGTCAGGGGACAAATGGGACAGATCCGTAGTAGCCATTTGAAAGCTCTGCAGTGGAGCCCAGTAACAACTGTGAACCAAGTTGACTGTCCCTTCCTATGAACCCTTTCCCCTTCTTTCAATGCCTCCTCTATATTCTAGCTTTATTCAGTACAGGACAGCAATCTGCCACAGTAAAAGAGTACTGCCCTCGGATACAGGATGTCTGGGTTCTGCCTGACTTTCTGCAACTTACTAGCTATGCTGCCTTTTCAAAGCTAATACCCTTGGGTCATCCAGGGTCAGACGATGGCAGAGGTCAAACTATAACTCTACATTCCTCTCTGGCTTTAAAGTTTTCATTCTAAAATTAATTTGCACCAAAGAATTTGTAACTTGATATATTATCTCGGCAGCATTTTAAGAAGATAGATGACAACGCTTACTACAAAAGAAGGGCTCCATAATGATGAACTCCAAGGCATTCGTTACGATCTCTTTATTAGTTCCCCAAACTGCACTGTTTAACAGCTCCTATTCCTCTAATACCAAGACCCTACTCCTACCTCCAACATGGCACTGCTAATTTTCTATGAAGTGGTATTTAACTGTTGAAGCAGTCTTTTCTTAACTAGCATTTGCAAAAGGAGATCCTTTTAAAAAAATCATTAAACTACATTGATTTGTGCAAATCTGATCAACACAGATTAGAATCATGCTGTTTTACAGGCTCAGCAATGGAAGAAGACAAATTCAGAGGCTCAGCTCTGAAACTGTCAGTGTTTCCAGTTTGTGAAGTCTCTGAAGGACATTCTGCATGTCCTCCTGCAGTCGCATGAGCACAAGGGCAATCTGCTCATTGAGGCTGCCTCTTGACCCTCTGTCTGAACCCCAGAGTTCCCCATCACCTCCGCTTCCCACTTGCCAACCCTTGGTTCCTTCACTCAGATGTTGCATCCTATGACCTATTTTAGGAGAGAGAAAAAAAATAAGTCCTTTAAAATAATTCTTATAAAAGAAATAGCATGTCTTATTCATTTTCCTCTATTATTTCTTTGAGGTCTAAGTCGCCAAAGTGGAGTGGACACAATCAGGAAGTACACAAAAGATGGGATCAATGAAGTAGATACGTAAACATCTACTTACACTGTTGCATTGTTAAATTTTTTCTTGCTAAGGTTTTATAATGTACTTAAGATATTAGTATATAACTAAATGCATATAATTCACAAATAATGTACATATTTGGGTTGCACTCTCACAAATTCTTTACCAATAAGCTGATAAGACTGAAAAAATTTGAAGACTGCTTCTTTAGAGTACACTGAAAACTATACTAAATAGCTATGCTTTCCTTTTTGGTCATTTTTGGTTTCATTGTATTTTAAGCCTCCCAAAGGGTTTTAGAATGTGTTTTTCTTTCCATTATACTTACATAGATATTGAAAGCTTACTACTATTAAGATTTTGTTATAAATCTATCTTTTTCTATGTATGTATTTACAGAATTGGCACTACCCCTTATATATGACTTTGTGCCCTAATTTAAAAAAACAATGTAAACACTTACCTACATTGTTAAATTTCATTCCAAATATACTGAAATGACTCATAAATTCCCTAGTAAGACCAGGAACTAATTTGCTCATTCCCCACTTTTGGATAGATAAGATGATTCTAAACTTTTGTGATTACAAATAACACTGCAATGAATGTCTTTGTAGATAAATTCTTGTCCAAATTTCTGCTGATTTCTATAGAACTCATAGATAGATTCCAAGAATTTGAAGACTCCTATACTCTAGTATCAAAAGTAAGTAAATTTTGAAGTAGTCCTTCATGAAGCACCACTTCAGCTACTGGTATGGACTTTACATGGGAAGAGAAGTGTGAAGTCCAGTTGGAGACTTGGTTTTTTTCTTGCAACCTTAAGAACTTGACCTTATCTGTGATGGCCTGTCAGTGGGCACTGATGACACTAGAGAGTTGCTCCTGCCTCTGCTCATTTACTATATGCTATATACTATTCAGCTTTCAACCCAGCCTTCAAAAAGACAGGATTAAGCAGACCATTCCCATGTTCTTGGTAATCCCCACCTCCAGCCATGCTATCTAATTACCCTGTTTTTTTTGTGGGTTTTTTTTGCCTTCCAGGGTGCTTTTCACCACTTGTACCCTATCTGAATTATCTGCTTATTTACTGTCAGCTCCCCTACACTAGATGTAAGCTCCATGAAGAAGGCACGTGGTCTTGTTCTCTACAGCATTCCAGGGACCAGAAAAGACCCTGACAGAACAGGCACTCAATATTTCTTTGATGCTGAAGTAGACTCACTACAAAGCAAAGCTTAACTTCAGGGTCTGACATTTTTCTGGACCCGGTGGGTTGTGGGGAGCAGTAGCACGTAAGAGGTGGGCTGAAGTCAGCTTGTAAACAGGAGCCTTCAGATACACAATCCTGATAAATTGCCTATAGAAATGGACCTAAACCAAGGCTCTAGCAATATGATCTTTGTTTCCTTGACTAAGTATTCACAGTTTTGCATGTGTTCAAATGGCTATTTTTTAAACTATAATTTTCTTAATACCATTAATTCTCTTTTTCTTCCTGCCATGTCTCCATGCTTTATTTTATGTAGACTTTTTTAAACCATGTAGAAATAATCCTTTAATTTTTATGACTTCATGAAATTATACAGGTAGTTTTCCCCTTTCTTTAGATGTACAACATAATGATTTGATATTTGTATATATTGCAACATAATTGCAGTAAGTCTAGTTAACATCTGTCACCATATATAGTTAGATCATTTTTTCTTGTAATGAGAACTTTCAAGATTTAATCTTGTGCAATACAGCATTGTTAACTATAGTCACCATGTCATACATTACATATTTATTTTATAACCGGAAGTTTTATCTTTTGACTCCTACACCATTTTCCCCACCCTCCAACTCCTTACCACCACCACCCCACCTCTGGCACCACCAAACTATTCTCTGCATCTAAGAACTTAGTTGCTTTTTTATGTGTCAGATTCCACACATGAGATCTTATGGTTTTTTCTTCCTGTTTATTCTTTTTCACAATATGTATATAAATAAATATATTTAGTTTTCTTCTCGATTCAACTTTCTATCCTGTTACATAATCATGGCTATTTTTATTGTTTAATCTTAGTATGGTTAAAGGTTCTTTTATCTCTGTTACTTGATTTGTCAGCTTTGAATGATTTCTTTTCACTTAAGTAAAGGAATGTGGAAAAGACAATGAATTCATATTTTTATCTACAGTAGGAAAAAAATGTGGCTGCACAGTTGGTGCAACCAGTAAGTAGATTGCTCAGGGGGTGACAGAACACAAATCTGGCTACCTCAAAACTGCATAGAAGATGTAGAAATAGAAACGTTTTCCCCTGTATCTGTGGAGAAGACACTACTACGCTTTGTGGCATCAAAGGAGAGAACAAATCAAAGAAAAATGGTCAGATGTTATGTAAGGAAAACTTTTAACATTCCCTTTGCAGACTGACAGCTTCAATGCCTTTCCTATCTGGAACCTCCCCATTTCACTAATTAGTTTATAAAGATAATGAAGACAAAAAAGAAGTAATAGGTACCTCTCCCTCTTCTGACATTAGAGAATTCCTCATTCTCTCTACCCCGTCTCTCATGGGTTTGGGATCCACTGTTACTTCCACCATCTTCTCCTCCGTGCTTTACTTCACCCTTTCCTTCAACTGCTACCACCTGCATATACCCAGTGTTGCCATTTCTGGAAGATACTTGGAAATCTTCAGGAAAATCAGAATTTTCCAAGGGCTGACTGGGATCACCACCCAAGTAATATTGACGTAGTCCATTGTTCGATGTAAAGCTGTCTAAAGACTACAAATTTAAAACAACACTGAGTTAACAGATGTAAACATATATTATACACCATGAAGTTTGCATGATAATAGAACTTTTAATAAAAACTTTTCTATGTTATTATGGAAAATAATATTTTGCTTCCAGTATATAAGGAAGAAATGGTATGGAAATGTTTCGTCCATGAGCAAAGAATGGAGGAGTTTTGGCAGTGACGTTTCTCATGAGCCAGTCATTCATCCAAGAAACATTTAACTATCTACTCTTATCCTAATTACTACACTAAACTCTAAGGATAATATGAAGGATCTCTATCTGCAAGAAACTTACCTTGCTAAGGGAGTGAAAAAAGTAAGATTATTACAACATAGTTTGATAAGTGTTACGAAAAGATGTACAAAGCATGCTATGGGAGCTCATGCAGGACGCGCAGCTCACACTGGGGTCGGGTGGAGGCTTGGTGAGGACAGACTTCCTAGGGGAGATGACGGGAACTAAGACCTGAAGAACAAATCAATATAAGCCAAGTCAAAGATGTGGCAATGATGACAGCACGTGCAACAAAGCAGCAGTGGGGCAGGGGCTGATGTAAGAGCTTTTGAGATTACAGAATCGACAGGACTTCAAGACTGAACATGATAAGGAAAGGAAAGGCAAAGACTAGATGGTTTTATGATACTACTCAGGATGAGAAATACAAAGGACAAGGTTTCAGGGGGACTGAAAGAGACTATGGTATAGCTACAGATAGGTAAAACTTGAGGTGCCTAGGCAAGATGTCTAATAGAGCACCTAGAGTTCAAAAGAAACATACAGGTTGGAGGCATCACTTTGAGAATCATTAGTATGTGGGGAATGGTTGAAATCAAAGGAGTAGTAACTAGGGATATATTCCTGGTGAACACCAAATGTAAGGGGTCAACAGAGGAAGAAAAACTCACAGAGGAAGTCTACATGGGGCCCAAGAGGTAAAAAGAAACCCTTACAAGAATGGTGAAATGGAAGCCAAGGGAATATTTTCAAGGAGAGTATAGCTAATATTGCTTAGTGATATTCAAGTGAGATAGGAAACATAAAGCATCCATTCAAATTAGCAACAAAGGCATGTCGGCATGTATCTGAAGTGTATGAACACAGTGAATGAACGTGACCAACAGAAAGCCTGGCCATGAAGGGAAGGAGGGAGATAAGACGAGTTAGAAGGTATCACAGGACTTTCTTTTAAAGATGGAAGGGAAATAAATATGTGTAGCCTTGAGAAGAAAGCAGAAGAGGGACACTGGTTGGGAATAGCTGAGAGAGGGTATAAAAGATGAAAATCTCCAAAGAGGTGAGAGAAAATATGACACAAAGTAGAGAAACTGCCTTAGGTGGGAAGAAGGACATGTGTTCCCCTGAGGTGGGAAGAAAGGTGGCAGAGACCTAATGGGTATAATGTACAGTCGGTAAGTTAAAGCAGCGCCAAGGCACGCAGTTCAAGTAGTAATGACCTAACAGCTTCTGTCTTCCCAGTGAAACAGAAAACAAAATTATCTGATGAAAGCAAAGAACAGGTGGGATAGGAGTATCCATCCCCTACCCACACCACCAGTCGTGGTAGAATTCTAGTTTCCTGTGCACTGGGCACTCCTCACGGTGTGGTCTGCAGACGTGCAGCGTCCGCATCCCCAGGGAGCTTGTCAGAAATGCACATTCGTGGTCCAACCCCAGACTAACCAAGTCAGAAACTCCGGGATTGAGGCCCAAGATTCTGGACAGTCAACAAGCTCCCTGCTGAAGTTCGAGAAGAGCCGCTTAAGAGGTAAGAAGAACGTGTAAAACAAAGGGGAAAACAAAACCTAAACCGTTTCCCCCTTATTCCTTCATCATAGAAATCTAACCCACCTGACAAAACTCCAAGTGGACTAGTCTGCACCAGTATACTGGCTGGAAATCATATCATTAGCACAGGTATCTGTACATATACAAACACTTCATGTCTCCAAATCTCGGTTTCAGTTTCACAAGAGTAATGTACTTCCAACCCATCATTTATTCCACTAAATGGCTATTTTAGGACATGATTTGCTTTTAGCTTTTTAGCTTCTACAAAGCAGTAACTGTGTAATAACAATTCAATCTTTCAAAATTTCAACCTTTCAGAAACGAATCTATAAACTACTCAACTGATTCAAGCTGGACTGAGAACAAAAACTGAAATAAAAAATCGGCTTTCTTTGCAACGGTAATTTGGTAAGAGAGATGAAGCCTTTAAAAGTATGAGGGTTTCTATCACATCAGAGATTTTAGTGAAACCAATGGGATACAGGGCTTTCAGACCATGAACCTATGCAAAGGACAGAAACGAAGACAAAAAGATTTACTGTAGTAAAAAAGCACAGGAATCCTGAAAATAAAATTCTAATACTTACTTTAAAAAAATGATTTTAATATAGACATCTGCCATGGATAAAGAAGTTGAAAGTAGGAGTATATAAGATTGAGTTTAGACAAACAATAGGTTGGGTAATAATAATAAAATAAGTAAATAATAAAATAATAAAAAATAAAATAATGAGGTTTTAATTGTACTGGCAGATTGGCCAATCCCTCAGTAGATGAGATACAGAGATGAAGCTTTAAATAATGACTTTTTAAAACAGGTAATATGAGAAGTCACAAGGAAGTATAGCAAAAAAAAGTTGTGAAGTGGTAACTATAGAGCAATACTTACGAAGGTACAATTGTATGAAGAACGTAATTAAATTCTTCTGATAGAAGAAAAGCAAAAATTATCTGTCACAGGCAAAATTAGTTATTACATAAAATACAAAGAAACGGAAATACACTACAGACAACTATAATGCTCATTTTAAAACATCTTATAATGGAAAATTTCAAATATACCAGAGTACCCAGTTTCAACAATTATCACTTCAGGGTCATTTTTGTTTTACCTGTTAGCCCCACACCCATCACCAGTGAATTACCCCAAAGCAAATTCTAAACATCATATTACCAGGCTAAATATTTTATTGCAATGGGATAAATATATCAAACATGAAAAAAAGTCACCTACTCTGGGTGCATATTGTCGGTCCCCTCCCTGCCTCTAAGGTGCAGACAAGGGAGGAGACGCCATGAGTTGTCGAAGACCTGAAAGGACCAGCCATGGGGCTCAAGGCATAACAGCTCAAGAGCAATGCTGAGAAGGCATTTCTCGTATTTATTGAATAAATGAACTTACAATGAACTCAAACCTCATTATCCGGCCTTGAGTCTAGCCCAAGGACGTGACACTTCTCAAGGATACCAAAACTGTGTGAAGGTGGCTCCGAGCCATGAGAACTGCTTTGGTTCTCATCACAGTCCTTGACTATACACCAACAGAGTGTGTGGGAAAAACAATCAAGTCATGTGTGCTTATACATTTGATTTCTACCTTACTTGAATTATGTATTAACCCCATCAATCCCACAGCATATGGTGTGTTTTGAGGATGGTATGCTTCACTTGACATATTTAAGACACCATCACAGAATTTTTAAAAACTTTTGTAAGTGGAAATTAGTGAGAAAAGGAAACTGTTGAAATCGTAACAGTCAAACAATGTGACATCAGTCATCATCAAAAAGAATTTTAAAAGCACCGTGATTCTCAATGACTCCAAAAAATATAGTTTTAAAAGAACTCACCGAGGTTTGAAAAAGACATATGCACCCCTATGTTTATCACAGCACTATTCACAATAGCCAAGAAATGGAAGCAACCTAAGTGTCCATTAGTAGATGAATGGATAAAGATGTGGTACATATACACAATGGAATATTATTCAGCCATAAGAAGTAAACAAATTCTACCATTTGCAACAACATGGATGGAGCTATAGGGTATTATGCTCAGTGAAATAAGCCAGGCAGAGAAAGACAAGTACCAAATGATTTCACTCATCTGTGGAGTATAAGAACAAAGAAAAAACTGAAGGAGCAAAACAGCAGAAGACTCAGAGAACCCAAGAATGGACTAACAGTTACCAAAGGGAAAGGGACTGGAGAGGATGGGTGGGAAGGGAGGGATAAGGTGGGGGAGAAAGGGGGCATTATGATTAGCATGTTTAATGTGGAGGGGGGCAAAGGGAGGGCTTACAACACAGAGAAGACAAGTAGTGATTCTACAGCATCTTACACTGATGGACAGTGACTGTAATGGGGTATGTGGTGGGAACTTGGTGATGGGGGGTGTCTAGAAAACATAATGTTCCTCATGTAATTATAGATTAATGATACCAAAAAAAAAAAGAACCAGTTTAGGTAATCTGTGGATGACAACCCATACTTAGCCTGGATTTGTGAGGGTTGTGATGAGGCAGGGCTGTATCTTGTCTAAGATGGTTTCTTTCAGAAAGGATAATCTGAGTTAGGGTTTAAGTGTGGGCAGGAGGTAACTCGGTAAAGGGGGAAGAAGGTACATTCCAGCAAAATGAATGCAAAGGTGCTGGTGCTGCAGGACAGAAGGCAAAAGGACTCAACATGTTAGAGGATCAGAGAGGAAGCCAGGGTAGGTGAGGCGCAAAGCCTAAACACAAGAGTGATGCTAACAGAGGCCAAAAAGTAAGTAGGAGCCCCAGGAAGGATTTTAGTTCATCAACGGCCTTACAGATAAAATAGGAGCAAACCTAGAACTCAGTAGCCAGGTATTTACTGATAATCACCAACCTTCCCCCAAAAAAATCTTTCTAAAAAGAAAACGAACAGGAATTTGGATTTTTTTTTTCCCACGCAAGAGATTTTATTATCTTAAGGAGAGAGTGGCTGCCCCAGACGGGGGTGGGAAGAGAGAGGTGGGGGGAGAGGGGAGCAGCAGAGAGAGCAGCGGGACAGAGAGAGCAGAGAGCAGAGAGAGAGACACAGAGAGAGAGAGGGCAGCAGAGAGAGAGACAAAGAGGGAGACAGAGAGAGAGAGAGCAGGAATTTGGATTTTTATCACTTTTCATTTTCATTTTCCATTGATTTCAGCTCATTTTTAGCTTGGATTTCTTATTCCTCCCACCTATGCTACTCATTTGTTAAAAAGCATTTTATCCGTGTTTTTACAATCTGAGAAAACTAAGAGGTAGATTTAATTGCTTGATGAAATGAAAAAAAGGAGGGAAACACAACAATGAAATACTGAAATCATTACTTCAGGGAGGCAAAAGATCAATGATTTGCTGTAATACATACTTGAACTGTGTTAGAAGGGCCAGGAGAGAGCGGGTAAGAATATAAAAACACCAAACATGACTACCTGGTTATTATCAGAAAAGGTTGTCACAGAGGAAAAAGAATTCATGTAGCTTTATTCATTTTTTTCAAATGTTAATTTCTAAACTTAAATGTCAATTAACTGAAATTTGAAAAAAATATTTCCATTCAAAATTTCAATCCAACATACTAAAGTCAATGTGAAGAACAAATTTGTCTGAAAATTATTCAGTTTTCTTGAACATTAATCAGTTTCCAACAGTGTCTAGAATAAAGTATATTCTGCCTCCCCATCCCACCTCTTTCAGAATATTTATAAGTACAACAGTTAAATGTTAGTTTTGAAAATTCAGGGATTTTATTTATTTTCTAATTCAAAAAGTTGCTTGAACTACAAATGTTTAAACATTTCACAAGTATGTTTTCAAAATAACGAACACATGTACATCTGCTATTAACCGATGTTATAGACCACTTTGAAAATTGACCAATTAAAAGTCATTTTTACCTCTTCTTGTCCAAATTCTTCCATGGAATCACAGTAAATTTCACTGAATCACTTGTCAGATGATGAATTCCAGAAACATCTTCAACATGATCATCATTTATAGCTAAATATGAATAAGTGTCCAGGTAGAATAATTATTCTCTAGTTAAAGAAAAATGCATTTACTCCATTTTTTAAATTTATTACCTCTATATTATTTTCATTTTGGAGATTAATTTGATTGACCACGCCACATGGTTTTCTTTGAACTTACCAAAACTTTAAATAAATGTAGTTGATAATTTTTACTTGAAACGACTACAAAGTATTTTATAAATACAATTACACAAAAGACACTGTCCAGATTAAACCTTACAAAACTTACTGACCTTAATAAGAGAAAACTGACTACCTGCTAGGAGGCCTAAATTTGGAATGCAACTATGCAAGTCTGGTTGTTTCACTAAGAAATTATATTTTGTTTCTTGACTGAATTGTAGCAATGTTAATAATTCACTGAACACATAGCAACGACAGGCTCACCCCTAGAGCTTTAAAATATGAGAAGACTACAACTTGTTTTGCTGATTGGAGAACAAAAGGTATCACATAATCAGAAGTTTAAGGGAAAAGAAATACCAAGAAATAAAGGTCAGCATGTCTAAATTGTATTTTAAAATGCTGTTCTAAAACACAATAAAATGTCTCAATAAAAACGTAAAAGCGTGGCTTTAATTCACTACCTTTCAAAGCTATAAACCCTTCAAATATTATTAACACCTGAGATATTACTGAATAAGAGGTTTTAAAAATTCTACAGGGCTCCCAAATACCCTAAAATTATTAAAAGAATATTCCAGTCTAGGAACAAAGCTGGATGGATCCCTACAATGGGATAATACCTCGGTGAAGGCAGACAGTAATTTTTCCACTTTGCTCCAAGCTTTCACCTACAGGATTTACTTCTTCAGCACTTCTGCCATTCAGGGAAGAACTGGCATGAATGTCATTCTGTGTATCTTGAACAAAGCTGTCTCTGTCATAGCCATTAGTGACAATGATTTCTAAATTCTTGTCGTCTGTGGATTTCATCATTTTCTTACCTGTATAAGAAAATAGATTCCTTAGAGTTCTCAGGAGGTCAACTTCTATATCCAATGTTTTAATATCAATTCCCCAACCTACCATACATAATCCCTTTGAAGAGTCCCCTATTTAGATCAGAAGGATGGGGTGCTTCTTGAAAAAACCTGTATTATATGCTAAGAACTCACGTAAATTGTGTTGGTTTCAAAAGCACTTCAGTTTCCTGTGAATCTTCCAGAACCCCTTTTATGAGATAATCTCTCAAGGTCTTTACACCCTTCTCAGACCTAAGCAAATTGCTCTATGACAGCCACCAGTATAAAGGGGTCCACACACTCAATAAAAAGATTTTTCAATGAAGGTATTATCTGTCATACCTTACTATAAAGTAAAGGCAAAACTATGCTGTGTAGTTTGTTTCTCTCTGTTTTCCCAAGAATCACCAGTTGTCTTCCTAACAAGGCCCCCCAATGCAGTACCTTGTGATTCCAATGTTCCCTCTTCATCAAAATTGCTGCCTATACCTTATTCTCTGGATTCCAAGATATTGAGGGTTTCACTTGTCTCCTCTCCTTGGTGACATGCAAATTCATATTGGAAACAATACGTTGGATGAATTCATTTCTGAGGCAGCATTCAGGCATTACATTTAGAGGAGTGGTGTGTTTCCTGTCAGCCTTCAATTAGTATCTATTCCATCTGTGCATGAGGCTGGTTGTCCCTACACTTCACAGTAGAGCCCTTAGATCCACAGCAAACCCTTTATAGGGTCAATAAGCCACATCCCACCATATGCACTAATCTCTTACAATGCCACATCAACCTAAACTTTTCCATATTCTTCTATCCTATTCCATATGGAGTTTCATCCCATGATCAAAGATTACCCCTGTCACTTTGTTCTGTTCCTTTTCCTTCTTCTTGGATCTCTTCTTCCTCAGACTCAGTGCCACTATCACTGCTTTCAGCTTTACCGTTAACAGTTTTGGCATTTGGAGTAGAAGTTAGAACATTACCAAGATCTAAAATACAAAATGACCACTTAACCTCTAATGCTGTAACATACAATAAAGCCATGATTTACAAATAATACTGTTATTTACAAATAAGCAATGATTCTGAAGTAAAAGATGGACTCGACATAGAAAAGTATTCTTTCACCATAAATATACATACATTACATAAATTATTTTGCTTATCAGTTTACAAAAAAATGATAAAGCTATCTTAAATCCTTTCTGAGTAAGGCATAAGGAAAATTGTTTTTAAGATAACATCAATCAAAAGAGTAAGTTAGAGATGGATGACCTTTACACATGGTAAATGGAAGAGACAGTTGTAGGTCAGTATGCTGAAAGCATATACGTATTTTTGGCCATAACAATGTCATCAATTGTAGTTCAACGACATTTAAATTTTTTATCCTTTTATTATATTCAGTACTTCATGTGCACAAATTACATTATTGTCTTTATGTTTAAGTTAAAAAAAATACCTATCAGGTAATGCAATCAATCACTTAAACTCTCCTACTGCCCAGTCCTGCTTTTAGAATAAGTGCATCAGAACTTCTCAAATGTTAATTTGCATAGGTCACTTGAGATCAAGTGAACATGATTCAGAATCAGTCTGGGGTGATCTAAGATTCCGTATCTCCAGAAAGCTCCCATGTGATGCCAATGCTGCTGGACCACATTTAGAGACAGGGAATTACATTCCCATCATTCTTCAGATACTAATAGCCTTTTAAGTGGCTACTGGCCAAAAACAGTGCTCTTCTTCCATAAATTTTTGGACTTTATTTTCACTACTACAAATGTATTTTTGCATGCTTCCTGCATCCCAAATAATATTACATTTCAAAATCTCATTACATCTTTATTTTTATTCATTTTGTTATCATAAATCTACAATTACATGAAGAACATTATGTTTACCATACTCCCCCCCTTCACCAAGTCCCCCCCACAAACCCCATTACAGTCACTGTCCATCAGCATAGTAAGATGCTGTAGAATCACTACTTGTCTTCTCTGTGTTGCACAGCCCTCCCTATGCACCCCCCCGACATTATACATGCTAATCATAATGCCCCTTTCTTTTTCCCTGCCCTTATCCCTACCTTCCCACCCTTCCTGCCCAGTCCCTTTCCCTTTGGTAACTGTTAGTCCATTCTTAGGTTCTGTGATTCTGCTGCTGTTTTGTTCCTTCCGTTTTTCTTTGTTCTTATACTCCACCTATGAGTGAAATAATTTGCTACTTATCTTTCTCTGCCTGGCTTATTTCACTGAGCATAATACCCTCTAGCTCCATCCATGTTGTTGCAAATGGTAGGATTTGTTTACTTCTTATGGCTGAATAATATTCCATTGTGTATATGTACCACATCTTCTTTATCCATTCATTTATTGATGGACACTTAGGTTGCTTCCATTTCTTGGCTATTGTAAATAGTGCTCCGATAAACATAGGGGTGCATATGTCTTTTTCAAACTGGAGTGCTGCATTCTTAGGGTGAATTCCTAGAAGTGGAATTCCTGGGTCAAATGGTATTTCTATTTTGAGTTTTTTGAGGAACCTCCAAGTAGCTTCCCACAATGGTTGAACTAATTTACATTCCCTCCAGCAGTGTAGGAGGGTTCCCCTTTCTCCACAACCTCGCAACATTTGTTGTTGTTTGTCTTTTGGATGGTAGCCATCCTTACTGGTGTGAGGTGATATCTCATTGTGGTTTTAATTTGCATTAGTGATGTGGAGTATCTTTTCATGTGTCTGTTGGCCATCTGAATTTCTTCTTTGGAGAACTGTCTGTTCAGCTCCTGTGCCCATTTTTAAATTGGATTATTTGCTTTCTGGTTATTGAGGTGCATGAGGTCTTTATATATTTTGGATGTCAATCCTTTATCAGATCTGTCATTTATGAATATATTCTCCCATACTGTAGGATACCTTTTTCTGCTGATGGTGTCCTTTGCTATACAGAAACTTTTCAGCTTAATATAGTCCCACTTGTTCATTTTTGCTTTTGTTTCCCTTGCCCAGGGAGATATGTTCATGAAGAAGTGCCTCACGTTTATGTCCAAGAGATTTTTGCCTATGTTTTTTTCTAAGAGTTTTATGGTTTCATGACTTACATTCAGGTCTTTGATCCATTTTGAATTTACTTTTGTGTATGGGGTTAGACAGTGATCCAGTTTCATTCTCTTACACGTAGCTGTCCAGTTTTGCCAGCACGATCTGTTGAAGAGGCTGTCATTTCCCCATTGCATGTCCATGGCTCCTTTATCATATATTAATTGACCATATATGTTTGGGTTAATGTCTGGAGTCTCTATTCTGTTCCACTGGTCTGTGGGTCTGTTCTGTGCCAATATCAAATTGTCTTGATTAATGTGGCTTTACAGTAGAGCTTGAAGTTGGGGAGCGAGATCCCCCCCCACTTTATTCTTCCTTCTCAGGATTGCTTTGGCTATTTGGGGTCTTTGGTGTTTCCATATGAATTTTTGAACTATTTGTTCCAGTTCGTTGAAGAATGCTGTTGGTAATTTGATAGGAATTGCAGAAAATCCGTATATTGCTTTGGGCAGGATGACCATTTTGTCGATATTAATTCTTCCTGCCCAAGAGCATGGGATGAGTTTCCATTTGTTAGTGTCCTCTTTAATTTCTCTTAAGAGTGTCTTGTAGTTTTCAGGGTATAGGTCTTTCATTTTCTTGGTTAGGTTTATTCCTAGGTATTTTCTTATTTTTGATGCAATTGTGAATGGAATTGTTTTCCTGATTTCTATTAGTTCATTGTTAGTGTATAGGAAAGCCATAGATTTCTGTGTGTTAATTTTGTATGCTGCAACCTTGCTGAATTCCGATATTAGTTCTAGTAATTTTGCAGTGGAGTTTTTAGGGTTTTTTATGTACAATATCATGTCATCTGCAAATAGTGACAGTTTGACTTCTTCTTTACCAATCTGGAAACTTTGTGTTTCTTTGTTTTGTCTGACTGCCATGGCAGGACCTCCAGTACTATGTTGAATAACAGTGGGGGGAGTGGGCATCCCTGTCTTGTTCTTGATCTCAGAGGAAAAGTTTTCAGCCTCTTGCTGTTCAGTATGATGTTAGCCGTGGGTTTATCATATATGGCCTTTATTATGTTGAGGTACTTGCCCTCTACACCCATTTTGTTGAGAGTTTTTTTATCATGAATGGATGTTGAATTTTGTCGAATGCTTTTTCAGCATCTATGGAGATGATCATGTGGTTTTTGTCCTTCTTTTTATTGATGTGATGGATGATGTTGATGGATTTTTGAATGTTGTACCATCCTTCATCCCTGGGATGAATCCCAGTTGTATGATCCTCTTGATGTATTTTTGAATTCAGTTTGGTAGTATTTTGTTGATTATTTTTGCATCTATGTTGATCAGGGATATTGGTCTGTAATTTTCTTTTTTGGGGGGTTCTTTCCCTGGTTTTGGTATTATGGTGATATTGGCTTCATAGAATGAGTTTGGGAGTATTACCTCCTCTTCTGTTTTTTGGAAAACTTTAAGGAGAATGGGTATTATGTCTTCTCTGTATGCCTGATAACATTCCGAGGTAAATCCATCTGACCTGGGGATTTTGTTCTTGGGCAGTTTTTTGATTACTGATTCAATTTTGTCACTGGTAATTGGTCTGTTTAGATTTTCTGTTTCCTTCTGGGTCAGTCTTGGAAGGTTGTATTTTTCTAGGGAGTTGTCCATTTCTCCTAGGTTTTCCAGCTTGTTAGCATATAGGTTTTCATAGTATTCTCTAATAATTCTTTGTATTTCTGTGGGGTCCGTCGTGATTTGTCCTTTCTTGTTTCTGATTCTGTTGATGTGTGTTGATTCTCTTTTTTGCTTAATAAGTTTGGCTAGAGGCTTATCTGTTTTGTTTATTTTCTCAAAGAACCAGCTCTTGGTTTCATTGATTTTTTCTATTGTTTTATTCTTCTCAATTTTTTAAATTTCTTTTCTGATCTTTATTATATCCCTCCATCTGCTGACCTTAGGCCTCATTTGTTCTTCTTTTTCCAATTTTGATAATTGTGACATTAGACTATTCATTTGGGATTGTTCTTCCTTCTTTATATGCCTGGATTGCTATATACTTTCCTCTTAACACTGCTTTTGCTGCATCCCACAAAAGTTGGGACTCTGTGTTGTTGTTGTCATTTGTTTCCATATATTGCTGGATCTCCATTTTAATTTGTTCATTGATCCATTGATTATTTAGGAGCATGTTGTTAAGCCTCCATGTGTTTGTGAGCCTTTTTGCTTTCTTTGTACAATTTATTTCCAGTTTTATACCTTTGTGGTCTGAAAAGTTGGTTGGTA